CTCCCCACTGCCCCCATTACTGCCTGAGCTCCACCTCCTATCAGATGGGTGCTGGCCGTATATTCTCAGGTGAATCTGCACACTTGAATCATCCTGAAACCAACCCCCACCCCGGTCTGTGGGAAAAACTATCTTCCACAAAACCAGTCCCTGGTGCCAAAAAGACTGGGGACCACTGCTCTTACAGGTCTGGCTGCTGGAATGTTTTACATTTAGCTATACCTTCTGGCCTCAACAGGCCTCTCAGTTGATATGGTTTTATGATATTACATCTTCAGCAATAGGTTTCTGAAGTTCTCATAGCTAACCGAAGTACAGTGTTTCACGTGGCAAATGCCACAGAGAATTAGCAGCAACCACTGAAGGACAGGTTAGTGCCTCAAGAAACCCTAAGGAACTATGTTTCTGTGCCTCCGAGCTCTCCAGGTGGGAGCAGCCTCTTCCAGCCTCCTCTTCTCCACAAGCTCTGGACACAAGGTGACTGGCTGAGTTGGCATTTCTAAACATATGGGATGGAAGTAAATACTGTTCCGTAAGAAATCATAACAAAATGAGCATCATTCTCCGGGATGCATTATTATCCCAACCCCTCTTCCCCCGCAGTCTGAAATTTAGCATCAAAAAGTAGACACAGCAGTCTTTGCAGGGTAGGGGAGAGTATTGAGAAAGTTCAATTCCAAGTGGAAAAAAATGAGGCTGGACCAAATCACCCTGCTCCCCTTGGGGATGAAGGATGAGGAACAGGAGGAAAAATACAAGAAAACATCCAAAATAAAAATTTAAAAAGCTGCCATTAAAATGTATGGGTATAATTGAAAACAATGAGTTACATCAAAGCTCTAAAATCACGTACAAATTAACCTTGTGCAAAAAGCCATGAAAGTACAAAGAAACAGAAACCAAATGAACTCACATCACTATGTTTAAATGGGTGCTACAGTGAAATGCCTCTCTCGAGTCCCAGAATTACTTCAAAGTCTCCAGGAAGGTTAGAGAAGCCACAGTGCTCAGAGATGAAGGGGCTGCATCCTTTCAGAGGATGACAATTCAATGCAAAGTCACAAGAGATCACAGAAGGGAAAAAACAACTGACCGCCTGCTTCGAGATCAAAAGCAGCTCGAGTCCAGCAGCTCCAGTCCTCTGAGTGGCAGGCCGTGCCGTAGGAGGGAGGTGGGACCCACAGACAGAGCCAGGAGAAGTGAAGCAAAAACCAAGAGGCAAGCAAGGACGGCATGAGGCCTGTGAATCGGACAGTGGTGGCTCCTGCGGGGCGCAGCGGAAAGCAAACTGGCAGGAAGCAAGACACATGCTGCCAGAGGCCAAGGCCAGACTGTAGAAGGAAATGAGCAGCGAGAGAAACCAGGCCCAGCATCACCGCTCCAGCTCTCAGGTCAGGGAGAAGCTGCTAGCTAGGCAGTCGCAGGTTTCACCCAGAGAGGCCTGGGTTTTCTAGAGGAACCACTTTGAAAGAAAGCCAGTTACATGAAATAGCCCCACCTCTCCTCCCAACTCCCTTCAGATCCCAGAATTAGGGCCCGAAGAGCTGACATTATAAACACCTACATGTGGAATCCATCCCCTCAATACTTAGAGCTCATACATCCACAGAAGAAACATACACATCTGAATCAAAGCACCCAGAGTTGCTGGCAGAAGACGGGGTAAAGTCTTCCATGTACACCTAGAGTCCAAGCATCCTATCAGCACGCATCAAAGCAATTTACTGGAAAAGCAAGGTATGTCACCTCCCTTTCTTTGCAGTCGCTCGGGGCCAGCAGTGACCTGCAAGCTGCCCTGGGTTAGCTGCTGAGTGTGCTGTTTCTACAGACGGGACTAGACAGAGACTGAAGATCTACCAAACAAAGGCTACAAGTTGAAGTCAGATTCTTGGTTGCCATCAGCTCTCTGGGCCTGGAAAAATCAAAGTGTCCACCCTCTGCCCGGCTCCCAACCAGCCCTAATCGGATATAAATCCTCAGCCGGAGTGCTGCCCAGGATTAAATCAGAAAGTGACGAAATGAGTTCTTTCCACACAGATACCCAGGATGATAAGCTTCTACCCTTTACCCTTTAAGTAACACACAAAAGAACTGCACGTGGCTCGAGGAGGTACGTTCTGTTAGAGGCCAGCCTGTTCCCTTGAGGAGGCCCATCCTGGGACAGGCCCAAGGCCATTCTCTTGAAGAGGCCTATCTTCAGATAGGAATAGCCTGCTCCTTTGACAAGGTCCATTCCAGGATAGCTACCAACCTATTCCCTGAAGGACATCCATTCTGGTGCAGGCACCAGGCTGTTTCCCCGAGGAGTCTACGCTGGGACAGACACTTCCCTGCTCTCTGTATTTTGCATGGGCAGTTGAAAAGGATGGATGGTCTCTTGCCTGCCCTTCTCTTGCTAACAGCAACCAATAAAATTATTTCTGATTTCCCATACTGTGAGTAAAAGCCAGACAATATTCACATATTTCTCCCTAAACACTCAATTCTGGTTCAATTTTAAAAAATCATAGAGACCTATATTTATTCCAAAGACAAAATGAATAATAAGAAAAGCTGAGATTTCTGGGGAAGTCTCAATGTACTAAGTAAGACAACTTGTCCCAAAAGAATAGAAATTTTGAAAATAACATAAAAACCCAAATACAACCTAAAGAAAAATATATGATTCAAGCATTTCAGTTTGGAAAGCAATTGCAAATACCCTAGTAATTTAAATTAGATAGCAGAGATCAGATCATTTCATGTTCTCTGTTGTATCGACTCACATACTGTGAAAAAACAGGACTAATTCTTGTTTTGAATTTATTTGTGTGATCTCTTGGTTCCAACCAAGAGAAAGTAGGGTGTGCTCTTAATTCACACCGCTGGGTGTGTGGTCTGGGGAAGAGTAATAAAACACAAAGGAATAAATCAAACACCTGGTTAATTGATAGAAAAATATCTAAGAAACACATTTATCTTGACCGACATCCCAAAATGTCTAGAAGAGTACCAGGTAGCTTGAAATGAAACCTTCAGATTGTTAAGCTGCAAAATTGATTACTTGAAAAAACAGGGGAATTCTGGCCAAGATGGAGGCATAGGTAGACACACTGTGCCTCCTCACACAACCAAAATAAGGACAACAGCAACTTAGAAACAAAATAACAACCAGAACTGACAGAAAATTGAACTGTCTAGAAGTCCAACAACCTGAAAATAGACATATTCATCCAGACTGGTAGGAGGGGCAGAGTCGGGCAGCTGGGCAGAGAGGGGTCGCAGCAAAAAAAGCGGTGGCACTGGGCACATGAGGCAGCAGCGGACAGACCCCGGGCACGTAGGCAGCGGCTGGTAAGCCCCAGGCTCGGGGTGGCAACAGGCAGACCTAGTGAGGCGGTGATTGTAAAGCAGGGCAAGCTGTGCAAGGCCACTGGCTGACCAGGTGGTCCCACGTTCACTCACAGATAAACCAGATAAAACTGGGGAGCGAGACAGACCATGCAACCCAGGGCTCCAGCACGGGCAAATAAAGCCTCAAAACACCGACTGAAAACACCTGTGGGGGTTGAGGTGCTGGGAGAGACTCCCAGTCTCAAAGGAGAGTTTGCTGAAGAGACCCACAGGGTCCTAGAATGTACACAGACCACCCGCATGGGAATCAGCACCAGAAGGACCCAGTTTGCTTGGGGGAAGTAGAAAAATAAGGAGAGGTTTAGGAACCTTCGGGACACCTTTAAACCTTTCAACATCTGAATTATAGGGGTACCACCAAAAGGGGAAAAGAAAAGCAAAGGGGGAAAACTTATTTGAACAAATAATAAAGGAGAACTTCCCCAATCTGGCAAAGGAAATAGACTTCCAAAAAGTCTAGGAAGCTCAGAGAGTCCCAAACAAGTTGGACCCAAGGAAGAACACACCAAGGTACATCATAATTACATTACCCTAGATTTAAATAAAGGAGAGAATCCTAGAAATAGCAAGAGATAAGAGGAGAGTCACCTACAAAGGAATTACCATCAGACTGTCAGCTGATTTCTCAAAAGAAACCTTACAGGCAAGAAGGAGATGGAAAGAAGTATTCCAAGTCATGAAAGCCAAGGACCTATATCCAAGATTGCTCTATCCAGCAGAGCTTTCATTTAGAATGGAAGGGCAGATAAAGTGCTTCTCAGATAATGTCAAGTTCAAGGAGTTCATCATCACCAAGCCCTTATTATATGAAATGTTAAAGGGACTTATCTAAGAAAAAGAAGATAAAAAACATGTATAGTAAAATGACAGCAAACTCACAATTATTAGCAACCACACCTAAAACAAAAAACAAAAACTAAGCAAACAACTAGAACAGGAACACAACCACAGAAACGAAGATCACATAGAGGGTTATCAACAGGGGAGTGGGAGGGGCAGAGAGGGGGAAAAGGCACAGAGAATAAGTAGCATAGATGGTAGGTAGAAAATAGGGGGAGGGCAAGAATAATATGGGAAATGTAGAAGCTAAAGAACCTATGACACATGGACATGAACTAAAGGGGGCAATGTGAGTGGGAGAGGGTGTGCAGGGTGGAGGGGCGTGAAGGGGGGAAAATGGGACAACTGTAATAGTAAAATCAATAAAATATATTTAAAAAAAGAAAAGAAAAAACAAACGTGCCCACTATCAGAGTAACATGTACTCATTACAAATATGATTACATGGCTCTCTTTTAGGCCTTTATCATATTTTGTATGAAATAGCAATTATACGTCTGTAACTCTGGACTACCTCTGTAGCATTTCATACTATGTTGACAAATAAATAATGGTCTCCACCCTCATGTCCTATAAAGCACCCATGTCATCAATTCACCTCCCCATCAGGACACACCTCAACTCTGAAACAGAGAGCGTGCCAAGCTTCCTGTTCACCCAGCGCAGGTCGATTTCACCCCGAGGCAAGCTCTCCCTCAGGGGAAGCCCTGGAGGCTGGGTGCCCTTTGGGAATAAACCAACAGGGCAATTCCCTGTGTTCTACTCACACGTCAGGCAGGCCAGCACGGTGCGCACAGACAGGTCCACTACCAGCTTCCAGTGCTCAGGCACGCGGGACACGAAGAAGGGGACAATGATCTCGGCCGGGACGTAGAACTGGATGGCGTAGGTGAAGAAGATGCCAATGGAGTAGAGCAGCTTCACGGACTGGTACAGCCTGCAGGGAGCACCCAGATACATTTCAAAGCTGGCTACACAAGCACATACACTAGCAGGGACAGTGTAAAATGGTCCCGTTGTGACTGGCCTTATCTGTCCAAGATGCAAACGCACGTGTCCTTTGGACCCAGCAATTTCATGTATAGCAATTTACTTTGCAGATATATTTGCACATGTGCACAAAAACCTATATTCAAAATATGTCATTGCAGCATTATTTAAGTACAAAAGACTGAAAACAGTTTAAATGTTCATCAGTGGGGAACTGGTTCAATAAGTCATGGTGTCCCCACAGAGCACTTAAAAAGTGTGAGGCAGAACTCTCAGTGTTGACGTGGCATTAGCTTCATGATATACTATTAAGTGAAAAAATAACGATGCTGTACAGTCTCTACAGTGTGCTACGATTCATTTAAAAGGGAAAAACCATTCTCCCTCACACACACATATGTGACATTCTTACATGCATGAAACATCTCCAGAGGGAAATATAAGAAACTGGCTAACATGGTTGCCTCTGAAATAGAAAACTAGAACTGGGGACTAGAGGAGGTGAGCGGAAACTTAACATTCTCTGTACACCCTCTCAACATTTGGAATCTTTACTAGGGGCATATATCCTTTCAAAAATGAAAGCAATTAAAAATACAATTAGGATGTAGCAAGCCTGATTATACATATCCTCCCCATCCCATTCACAGCTCCCCGGAATCGGAAGGTGACCGCGCAGAGCCAAGTGGCACGAGCAGAATCCATGTTCCCGCCCCACTGCAGCCGTCTTCCCACCACTGCTCCGCATGCAGAGTCTCAGGAAGACCACGGTCTCACGGTGAGATACCTCTATCCACCCCGTCCATGCCTAAGACTATGCAGAGTAGAAAAGAAGTCTTGTAAGTCTTTAAGGATCTCACATGATCGTAAAGGGAAGACCACCCTGCCCCTAAGCAAAACTCCATATCAAACAAGACCCTACGGAGTTGAGCAGCAAGAAACACTGGCCTCCCTCCTGTTGGAAATCTATTTCGAAGTGGTGATTATATCGTTTATAATGTGCACTAAATTTCTCTGTGGTTGAGCTTAATGCCTGGAAGATGTTCTTATGCTGGAAGCAGAACACACCAGGAGAGACTGAGTTTGACAAAAGGTCTCACTCGCTCCAGGAATAGATGATAAAAACTCTTTGGAAAAATCAGCTGGCGGCTCTATAATTAAACTCAGCACAGCACCAAAGCCTGCTGGAGTGCAGGAAAGCCTGCAATCAGTATAGTCACCTGCAGGGGTAGCCAAATAAACTGCACCCGCGTGGAGGCAGAAAGATTAGAATAGCCAGGTTTGAGATATCAGAAGAAAGAAGACAGATGCTCGTCCCTGTCTTCAGGTTATGTGGGCTCCTTTTGCTGCTCCCTATCCATTTATCTTGCTACGCCAAGCTACCATCTGATTCTCGACAGGTCAAGAACATTTGGAAATGTAAAAGCAGGCATCAGAGGGAAAGAGAAAGAGCTTCTAAAAACAATGACCCATTTCAGGGCTACCACTTGGCCGGCCACACAACAAACTTAGTCCCCAGACCCCTGCTCAGTAGGGTGTCCTTTGCTCAACAGTGACAACACCAGTGACAACAACCAGGCCGGCCCAAAAGGTTATTCTGATCCCCAGGGCACTGCGCAGGCACCTCCGTGTCTGCTCACAGCTGCTCTCCATAATGAAATTTTAATCTTCAAAACAGAATTGTTGCTTAGGACGCACCCTGTGACGTCTACTTTTCGGGAAAGCATTTCAATACGTCTCAGTGTTTCCTCGTAATACAGCAACCAAGAGTTGAGACCAGGGAGACGTGGATGGGCTCCCGACAACCTGTGGTCCACGGACAGAGGCCTCCACGTGCACATCAAGTCAGTGACTGCACAGGAGAGGCGCGGCACAGGCGGGGAACTAAGCAGATGTGCCTTCCCCCCTCGTCTCTCTGGAATGGTTTAAAGTGAATGGACCAGATACTTGGCCCTTCCAGGCTCAGAGTTCCAGGGAGAAATGGTACATGCACCAGCTGGTCAAACAATCCATTCTAGATATGCCTCCATACCAATCACTCACCCAAACCAAGAGTAAAGCTCGGGTGGCGGCCCACTTCTCCATCACACCAGTGTACGGTTACAAAGCTGCTTCTCACGCGTATCCCTTGATCTCCATGACAACCCTGGCAGGAAGAATGACTACTCCTCATTCCCAAAAGAGGGAACTGAGGCAGAGAGAAGCTGTGATTTGCCCGAGGCCACAGAGCTAGGACGTGGCAGGGCGCCACTGTCCTCTATGCCCCAGGTGCGTCCTAATAACATCTCCTCATTTAGAAAATGCCTCGTTCCGTGTCTATTCCTCCTTTTTGTTCAAGAATCACTCGCTTGGAGATGATCGTGCACCACGTGCTGGGATGAAATAGAAACGGGGTGGCTGCTGCCCTCACGGAGCTTGCAGTTTAGGGAGATGACCAATTGTGAGACAATGGAATAAAAACTGCGACTGGATTCTAATGGGATCCTATGGGAGCAGAAAGAAGGGGCATCTGACTTGAAGTTGTAGTCAGTGAAACATCAGAGAGATTCTCAAAAAGAGTGACTTAGACCAAGTCCCCCTCGCAGAGCGAGAACCAGGCTAGGACGTGCAGGGCCCCGACGGGCGCATTAAGGAGGGCGAGGGGAAGCCTTTGGGGAGTTCGCAACAAGGGAAGGCACGACTAGACTGACAGGGTCTCGGGCAGCTCACCCAGGTAACAAGGGGCAGCCCAGATCTGGACAAAGATTAAGACTCAGGCCGGAAGGTGGGTCAAAAGGTGTGGTGGGCGGCCACACAGGGATGGTGCTGGCCTGCCAGTGATGGCAGCAGTGGACTGAAGTGACACAGCTGACTTAAGAGATCAGTAGGAGAAAGAATCCACATTCTGACCTCTTGATTTAAAAGAATACAGAACAAACAAACTGGCGGAACAGAAGCAGACTCAGATGCGGACAGCATTTTGATGGATGCCAGGTGGCGGGGAGGGGTGAAGGGGAGGAGGACTGAGGAGCGCAGGTCGGCTGCTGCAGAGTGGTCATGGGGAGGTGCAGTGCAGCATGGGACTGTAATCAATAGGACGTTATAGTGTGATGTCAGACGGGTGTGGGATTTCCGGGGATGATCACTCAGTAAGTTACGTAGTTGTCTAGAGTGTACACCTGACGCTGGTATGATACTGTATGTCAACTGTAACTGAAAAATAAAAAACTGATTCAAGAGATGTATAGTGCCCCCGAGCTTCCACCCTCGCCCACATACCAGCAGTTGGGCAGGTTGAGGGTTATACTGGCTTGGATATTAGCTCCGAATCGCAGGTACCCCAGACTCCCCAGGCTGATGTAGAGTACGGTGACGATGGCCATGCCCACATACAGGATGACTGGAAATCTCTGGGGATCCTTCATTTTGTTTTCAAGGGGCAGAACCTATGGAATAGTGAGAGAGAAGAGAAAACACAGAAAACAACATTAATAGCCAAGAAAAACAATTTCATATTCTTGAAAACTAGTGGTTCATCCTTAGGATTCCTCAAAAGCACATCCATCCTTCATCAGACAGACAAACAAACGCAGCCGTTTCCTCAGGAGTCCTCCTCGCAGGCTGCAGACCCAAGCCCACTGTCCAGTCGGGAAGTGCTGAGTCGCTGGAGTGCGCAGGACGGGAGCCCACGCTTCGCGCCCAGGCCAGCACTCTGCCTCCTGCGGCGAGGTCCCCACAGGGGGGAGTTCTCCTCGTTCCCTGAATGAAGCCACCTGGCAACGAGCAGGCCCTTTGCATCGTGCCCACCTGGAACAGATGCTGGCGGTGGCACAGGCCAGCTGTACCTCACCCGAGATCACAGCTTTGCCAACCTGCCCGAAGAATACAAAACAAAGGTCAGGGACAACGGCCACTCTAGTCCGCAGATGCTGTCACCTTGCCTGAAAGGGGGTAGACACCAACAGTGACAAGTCAAACCCCCAAAGTTAGAGAAACTGAGGTACTGGTGGTGGCAGGACTTCATAGAGGACCTTGGATATTCAGGATCTTGGACATAAGTCACAAAACCCAGTCTCCAGACTCCGATTTCAAACACTGACCCTTGCCGCCGCCTCCCTCAGAGCAGAGGACATTCTCTAACTTTCACTAAAGCAAAGGAAGGTTTAGGAAGATTGGTTCCCAACAGCGAGTGGAGCAGGTATAACTGTGACAGCCTTCACAATCTGCCATCAACTGCTTCTGGCATAACCCACAAGGAAAAGCAATGCAGGGCAAAGACTGTGAACTATCTCTGGCCTTGTCGTCACACTCATTTGCCCTGAGCGCCTGTGGCCATGAGGCAGAGCAGACCCGTGAGCCAAAGCCCAGGGCTCAAGGGGCACGGCGGCGCTGCATCTCCAGCTGGCCTTTAGCAAGCCCCACCCCACCAGCTCAAGGCTCTCAAGCTACAGTTGACCCACATCCAGTAAGAGTCTGTTTCTAAGCTTTCCTTCAGTGTCCTCCTGCGGACAATCTTAAAGAGACAGAGGGCAGGGAGCCCCTCTCCTCCATGTCCGCCAGGCCTGGGCCCGTGGGGCAAACACAGAGAGCACAGTGCACAGTGAGCAGTGGCACTGTACCCGGATGTGCTGGACAGCCCCCAAATCCAAACTGAGTCGGAAAGGCAGAGTTCTCTCTATTGTAGAAATGGAAGAGAGAGAGAGAGAGAGATCTTGAAGGAACACATGATGATGATTACAGAATGACTCCGTGCTCAAGCCTGGCCTAATGAATTGCAGCAAAGCATGACTACTGCACTGTGCTGTTAGGGAAAACGGATCAACTCAGGACAATGCTAGGATCTCCAGGCATCTTGCCACACGTACTCAACCTCTTCTCCCCGGTCCTGAGCACCTGGGACTTCTTTCTCACTGCCGCAGCATGGACCCATTTCAGGCCTCTGCCCCAGCAGCAGGAAAACCACTGGTGTTGTGAGTCAAGGTGAGACATTCTTCCTGGTGATGGGAGGTCCCAAGAAGGAACGCAAAAAAAGTTTAAAACCTCAGAACAACAACCTGTACACCATCACTCAGAAAGCCTCCCCCATGATGTCAGAGCCTTAACCTGGTCCAAAACACTACAGGGACAATTCCTCACTATTTTGACAAAAATATGTCCGGCTTCTAGGTTTTCCTAAAAGCATATATAAGGTGGTGGGGAAATCAAACAGGGAGGAAATGAAACACTGTGAAAGGGGAAGCGTCTTCTCATTTCCTAAGCCCCTGACCAGTAGAGCTAATAATTTTTTTCAGAGAACAATTCTGTACCTTTATTATGAGAAATATCAATAAAAACCAAATTAGGTACAAATGAGTGGCAGATTCCCCTCTTGAGGGGAAGAATTTAGTAAAATCACAGCAATGATGGGGGAGAGCTGAGCTAGGAGTGAAAACTGTTCATTCACACAAAGAAAATACATCATACACACACTAAAAGAAAATACAACACATAAATGGTTCAGGACAGAAAAAGTATTCATATATTTATTAACTTAATAAAATCAATAGTATATTGATGAAAATAAACATTATTCAATGCTCATATGTCAGAAACTGTGCAAAGTACTTTATATATATATCTCACCTAACCCTACCAATTACTAATCATTAAAAATCACTTTTCAGAGGCAAACACTGAAGGCTCAGAGAGGTTAAGTCCATGCACAAGGTCACACAGCTACTCTTTGGCAGGAGGACTCACCCAGTCTAGACCCTGCATTCCTAAATTGCCATGTACTATTGCTTACTGAACATTCAGGAAGGTGGGTGTGCAAAAGAGCTGGTTTGGATGTAAACATTCTCAAATTACATACGATTTATTTTCAAAAGCTGGAGCTGAGGAACTTCCATAGGATCCCTAAAACGCTAACTGGCCATTAAGTCCCACAAGTTCATCGCCAACAGCATTTCCTCAGCACTCCTTACAGCAGACCTCAGGGACACTAAGGGCACCAGAGGATCGCCATGCCACTCTTACCATCCCAATGCCTTCAAATGCAAAAAGGGCCGTGCCGAAGAACAGAGGGTAGGTCTTCCAGGGGGCCACCAAGGGCAGGCGGCTGGGGTCGGGGATGCTCTGAAAAAGAGAAAACAAAACAAAGCAAAGGCTATATACACATGGAGCTTCCAGACCTGAATCCCAACATCACCTACATCCTGGAGTCTTTGAAGAGAGAAAAATCTGACACCTGTCAGAGGACTGGGAGACAATTAGCTCATGTATATTTTTCCCTTCAGACTAGGAGAACCCTGCTTGCTTTGGGGAAGGAGCAGCCCAATGTACCAGAAGAACTCAAATGGTGAAGGCTGCATAAAAACAGTCACATTCTTTTCCTAGGTAATCACATCCCTAGAAATTTAATCTTAGTAGAAAAAAATCAAAATAGAAAAAAGTTAATATCAGTAACTAAAAACCACCTAAATGTTCCCAAACAAGGGAACATTTAGTTTACACATATCAACTATACCATAGAATATCATGCACTATTTAAAAAAGTAAAAAGGACAATAACTAAGTAGCACATGAAAACTGCTTATGAAATAATAGTAAAAAAAAACACCTTAAATTTACATATTCACCATGATACAGCTATTTAAACACTCCACACAGATAAAGCTGGAAGGGAAGATGGTAAATTTTTAGATGAGCTCTTTTCTTCCTCTCTACTTTTCTTTCTTTAAAAAAATTCTTATAAATAAGTTCAAGTACTTGGGAAATATTGACAGGCCCATGACAGGAGTATTGAAACATTTGAGGGAAAAACAGCAAAAAGGACATTTAAAAATAGGTAAATAAAAACCAAGGCGAGTGTCAGCTGCAGGGGCGAGGTAAGGACGGACGAGCAGGAGGTGCAGACGCAGGACCCCAGCTGGCTCTCCCCTGGGCAGCAGCGCCCAGTGCTCAAGGGCATCGAAGGGCCAGGGCGTGGCGTGGGGCGGAAGCTGCTGTCCTAGAGTCTGGCTTTTTAAATCCTGTGTATACACTGCTTAGGTTAAAGTAAAAGCTGACTTTACAACGGCCTTTTACAGTGTTTTAAAACTGATTTAACTACAGAGGCATTAATGAGATAAGTATGGGGCATGTTCTAACAGTTTGACAGAATAATATGAGCGAACAAGAGAAAATCTAGTACTAATCTCTGCAATAGGCTTCTCTTTGAAAGGTTTCAAAGTAATTATACTACAGCCTCCCTAAAACATAAAGAATTTCAAAAATACTTTTTACTGAGCTGCTGCTAAGATATCAGGTCTCTTTACAAGTAGCATTTCAGTAACTGGAATAAAGGCAGACAATGCACACTCCTGCTCTCTGATGAGACAGCAGAGTGAGCGTGCCCTGTCATTACTCCCGAGTCACAGGTTCCTGGAGACAGGAGCCATGCGTTGAGAGGGGAAGACTACTGCTCAGGTTTGTGGGTCAGGTCGGGCTGCCGTGTCAGAGGGAATTTCAGAATATATGTCTGGGGATTTGGTGTGAATGAGGCAGCAGAAGGAATTTAAAATTCTATATACTCAGTCACTGATACTGACTTATAACCAACCAAGTTAAAGAAAAAAGTTTAACGTGCAAGGAAACATACAAATTAAAATCAGCTCACTGTCAACATGTTATCATCTCAATTCTACACTGCTGTCAATTACAACAGCTTTTTGAGGAAATGCTGATAAATGTATGTAAGGATGGAACGGTTTACCCCAGTTTTGGAAACACTGTGGGAAAAACGCATCTCAGAACTAAGGAGATGCAGTGATAAAATACTGACTGGGAGCCCCTCTGGACAAGGCACCCCGCGCAGAGCCATGCTGCCACCCACCTGTTCCGGGAAGCAGCTCAGGTGGCAGGCCTCAGTCAGCTGCCTACAACGGCATGCATGTGAGGAGCAAGAGCACCGATCACACACGTGCCCGGGATTAGGTAAAAATTCAGGAACATCAAACAGCAGTGGAATCCTCGTGGTAAGCAAAGCAAACTGCTAAGAATGAGCAGGAAGAACAGCAGCAGCAGCAACAAAAACGACTCCGAGGGAACATCTTTAGCCCCGAGCCACGTCAAAATGAAGCTGCTCAACACAGCTGAACCAGCGTTCTCCCGGGCTGCACGCGGGGCAGACAGCACCGCTTGACCCCACATACCTCCTGGCTGAGCCCAGAGGCTTGGAATTGCTCTCAAGAAACCAGCAGGACCGCCTTGCCAGAAAGAGCAGGGTGTACTGTGCACAGACAACGCTCTGACCAGAGGCGGCCTTCACGGGAGACTGGGACCCTATCACAACCCACATTCCTACCCCAGCCCCCGCCCCCCGCCCCGTGCTTGGTGACAACCACAGTCCAATCCCTGCATATGATTAAATGTGGTGTGTGTGTCTCACTCACCTCATCTTGAATGTCCACTGCAGTGGTTCCTAGGCAATGACTGAGATCTCTGATTACAAAGGTAAATCAATTTATTTACCCTTCTCTGTTTTAACTTAATTTGCTGGAGGCAGGGGAAAGAGACTCTCTGGAATAACCCGTCATGCATTCACAGGCCCTCCTCCCAGTCTCCTAATAAAATGGGACATGTGACCTGTTTATTTCATGCTTTAAACAACAATTCTGCAGAAGAGTCAGTATCTGCCACCCATCTGACTTACTAGGACACAGGAAAGACAGTAAATGCTCACTAAGTACAATTTAAACTCATTGTCATTTCTTTAACACCAGAAGTCCCTACTTTTTATGACCCAGTTTTCCTAGAAACCACATTAATGGGTAACTGTGTGACAATGAGGAAAAGTTCACCTGCCAGAGTGACCAAAATTAAAACGACTGACATATCCAGTGCTGTCAAGGATAGAAGGCTTGTATCATGGAAGGCTTATACTGTGGAAGGGAGGCTATGTGAAATTGGTAAGTAGTTTTTGGAAAAGGTAACTCCACAATGTAAAATTTCAAAAGTGCAAACTCTTCAGAAATTGTACCTCTAGATAAATATCTTGGAGGAATATTTATACATGCCCACAAAAAGGAAGGCATAAGAAAACTCACTGTCATAATACTGAAGTAATACTAAAAATTATTGGTGACCCGACCGTCCGTTGACTGGGGACTGGTTAAATAAACTAAGGCACATCTATTCTCTGAGACACTACATAGCAATTTAACGGGATGAGGTAAAAACAGGGGTATCAATATGGGAAGCTCTCTAAGGCATCATTGAGGGAAAAGAAGTAGACCAAAACTACATATAATATTTTTTATTTTAATAAAAAATAAAACAAAAATATGCTCTTGTTTTTATGGACTTCTGTACACACTAATGGAGTGTGCGGTGTACTCACAGGACCTGGAAGGAGGCAGACCAGTTGGTCGCACCCAGGGTGCCAGAGTGGAGGAGACTCGGGGTGGGGGTGTGGCATTCGGCAGGCACTGGTGTCGCCCGCACTTCACTAAGATTTTACGTATGTATTTTAGAGAGAGGAGAACACGGACACATCACGGATTTGCCTGTGACGCTTGCGCAGAGGCCATGCTAACCTTCTGTGCATCGTTCCAGTGTGAGTTACATATGCTACACTTTAATGAAGATGTATTGATGAGTTATTTGGGGAACTGAATTTAAATGCTTTCTGAAAAGCTCTGCTTTTATTCTCCTGCTATCACCCTCTGCCTTTTCTCCGGTTCTGGCAACAGCACTGCACTGCCCACAGACAGGGTTTAAGGACACCTCTCGGTCAGCCCGGCCTCCTGCTCCCCTGTACCACCCGCAGGCCCACCCACACAGGCTGTGCGAGCGGGAACCACAACTGGATTTATAAGTTTGACAAGTACAAAACTGGAGTGCTGAGGAATTATTTTATCTACACATGGATTAGAAGACTTGGTTTTCATTTTTATCTTAATATTCTTCTCTATTTTCCAGTCTTATAAAATTACGTATGTATTAACTGTCTAATTGGAGAAAAATTTAAACCAGTGATCTCGAGAGGAATGACTCTGCCCCCCAGAGACGTTTACCAACTCCTGGAGACATTCTGATCGTCACGGCTGGGAAGGAGGGCTGCTACTAGCTCCTAGCAGGTAGAGACCAGGGAGGGTGCTAAATACTCCACAAGACATGGGACAGCCCCCCACCACAAAGAATTATCTGGCCCAAAATGTCAATAGGGCTGAAGTTGAGAACCCCTACTGTAAATATTGAATATATCATGCCTAAGTTAACATATCCCTATTTATGGTCCATGTCCTCGTTTTGTTTGTTTGTTTGATTATTCAGTGGACTCGTACCTGCACAATGAACTGGTAGATCATGACCAGGCTGACCAGCATGGTGATGTTGGCCAATAGGGAGAAGATGGACAGCAGCCGGAGGTTCCTGATGAAAACCAGCAGCACCAGGAAGGGCAGGAAGGCGAGCATGTAGAGTCGCGAGTCCATGGTGGACGTCAAAACCACTGTCTCACTGTTGTGGCAGTCATTGGTGGTTGCATTGGCCGCTTCTATCACCTGGAAGACGCGGAGACAAGAAACAGAAAGAGCTTCTCAAATGACAAAGGCCAGTGAACCTCCCACTGGAAGGTTCGGTGTGTGAAAAGGACCATGTAGAAGTCTGTGATTGGTGCACTGTCTTTTGAGATCTTTGTAATTATCACAGCTACCCAATTATTTGAGCTGGGTTTGACCATCCTGTCTTACCTAAAGACAGGCTGACGGACAAGACGTGGGAATTTCTCAGTGCCCTAGGTCTTCAGATGAAATCAAACAAAAGACCCTGTTCTATGAGGAGAATCTCAATTCTTTTGTTGATCAAAACTGGTTTGGAAAGAAGTCCTTAAAAGAAAGCCCACTTATCTCTTGCCATTCTCCCCTGCCCCATCTCTCTCCCCCTTCCTTCTCCCTCTCCCTGCCCATCTCCCTTAACCAGGGCCATACCTGTTTAAAGTTGTCAGCCAGAAAAACGAAATAGACACAGCAGAATCCCAGCTGCGTGACAATCAGGAAGAAGTCCACAGTGTATCTGAAGGTGGAGAAGACAGGAATACGAAAGATCATGACAAGGAAGAGCGAGACTCCCAGGGAGACTGGCGTCTGAACGGTGCTTTCGCCCCAGTCATCACAGATCCTTCCCACCAGGGGACAAGGACAAGTGTGCCCCGGTGAGAGGAGAAACTGTGCTAAGTGCCACCGGTCTGGACCTTTGGAGGAAGGTGAAGGAGCTGCTGTCGTGTTTTCCCAGGTCCCCTTCCTGGCTTCTTATCTGCCGTGCTGTATGAGGTCAGGCAACCCCAAGGCTAGAAGGGCCTGAGCAGGGCACACACATCGGCACAATCGCCCGGCCCCCTGGTTTCCCTTCCCCTGTGGCCCACCTGTCCCATCTCACACCATTTGTTCTAAAGCCACAGGGAACCTTCAGCATAACAGCCTGGGAACTGTGGCCCCTCCACAGTCTCTTTCTGTAACTTGAATCCAAGAACCAACCTACTCTCACATAAGCACACAGAAATAGATGTATCCTAATAGACTCCTGGGTAAGGCACTGTTACAACAACAGCAGCTGGTAACAACCTATAGGGCCAACCAAAGAAAAATGATTAATTCATAGACCCTTCCTAAATGGAAGGGTATATAGCAGGTAAAAAGCATATGTTAAATCTATATGGGTTAATAGAGAAATGACTAAGACATTTAAGGGAAAAAATAAGTTTCCAAACAGTACACACAGTATGGTTAATTTATATTAAAAAATTAAGATCATGTCCATGTTCATATATACAGGTATTCCAAAAGGATACCCATGCAACTGTGAACAGTGTATATACTTTTACTTATCACTCTATGATCTTCTATGTTGTTCAGAAATAATTTTTTTACTGTAAGTACACATTAACTTCATTAAAGCAAGGAAGGGAGTGAGGAGGTAAGAAAGAGGACAGAGTGAGCCATGGAGAGAGAAGGAAAGAGAGAGAAAACAGGAAAAGACAGAGAGAGAGGGAAAGAGAAAGAGAGAGGCAGAGAGAGGGGGAGAGAGGGCAGGAGAGCGAAGAATTGATCACCAATCATTCAACCAACCAACAGTGGTCACTTGGCAATCTCTGATCTCCTGGTCAGAGAAAATGATTCGGAAAGAATCACACAAATCTCCACCACAGGAGGAAGCTGACAGTGAGTGAAGGTGAAGGTCTCCCTACAACCACAAAAAAAAAAAAATTTCTGAAGATTTTAGTTTTAAGATAGTTCGATTTTAAAAAAGGAGCCTAGTTGGTGTGGCTCAGTGGATTGAGCGCAGGCTGCGAACCAAAGGATCGCTGGTTCGATTCCCAGTCAGGGCACCTGCCTGGGTTGCAGGCCAGGTCCCCAGTATGGGGTGCCTGAGAGGCAACCACACATTGATGTTTCTCTCCCTCTCTTTCTCCTTCCTTTCTCCTCTCTCTAAATAAATAAAATATTTTTTTTTAAAAAGGACTCAGCCCTTAATGGTATCAATTCTCTACGTCCAAATGTACTATTTCTTCAAACAGAAAGCAAAATATAAAAAATTTCCTGTCAGGCATCTGACAAGTTACCGTGAGGAGAAATTTCCCGCCACCCCCCCCTCCGCTGAAATGTCTCTCCCTACTGAACCCATTTGCTCCAGCTCACCTCACCTCCTCCTTGCAGGCTTCCTTCTCCTGCCCAGCACCCTGCCCATAAAGCACCTATCATGTGTACTTCTCATCTGCCACAGTGTACAAGAGAATCTTAAAAGTTTCTCCCCTCTGAGTGCCTAAGATGTATTCGCAGCTCAGGACACTCTTCCTCCTGGTTTATTCTACTCCTGATACCTTGTTCACAGGATTCTCAGGCACCTTTCTGCTTAGAAAAACTGCAAGCCCCTGGAGCACCAGGACCACAGAATTCACTCAGAGAACCCCTCCTCCATATACCTAGAATTGGTTTGTACCACTTATGAGAGGGTACTTTTACATAATAAGCACAATGAGGGAATTAAATACAATCCCTGCTCATAGACTGTCAAAGCTGGAACAACCTATATAGAGAGATCTTTTGGGCCAACAAGGCAACTAAGGCCCGGAGAAAGGAGGGGTCACACAGCTCAGGGTCATTAAGATTACTGCTGGGGGCTGAACGGGAACTCAAGTTTGCTAACCCAAATGATGGTCTTCCCACTACTTACACTGTCTCCCACATCTCACCCCATCTGGAGGCTACAGTCACAATGAGAGAGGAAACCAGTTACCTTCCCCAGTGTGCGTGGTTCCGGAGCCAGGAGACAGGGCTGGATTCCAGTGCGTACATCACCGTCTCCCCATACTCCAGGAAGGGCTTGTTCAGTCTCCGAGGAGGAGAGGGAGAAAGGAAGAGCGGAGTGTGTGGGTTAGACAAAGACAGCACAAAGGGAGCTCACTGAGACCTGGGCCTGTTCCCCACCTGTCACCCTGGAGATATCACTGAATTCTGGATCAAATGCTTTCAAGGATCAGAAGTGTCAAGTCAATGGGACAGTTACTTTCGTTATAGTTAACAACCATATGGTAGAACCATTTCAATGGGTAAATACTGTGTTATGAAGCATATAAAAATATAATGTGCTCTCTGTCCACTGGAAGTAAGTAAATTTGACAGATGACACATGATCAAATGCATCAGAGTTTGATCGAACAAAAATAACAGGGCAATGTTAATCAGCAACGACATTAGCTAGCATTGAAAATTTAGGCTTATCTGTGTAAGTGCTCACTTTCAAGTAATGAAACCTAAAAGGTCAATCTGTCACTCAAGAGGCAGCTCAGAGGGCTCTCACCTGCGGCAGAAGTGGTGAGCACATTTCACCAGGATACGCATGCAGTGCACGGCCACGATGCCTATCAACAGCAAGCTGAGGGGACCCATCTGGGACAGGTGGCGTGGGCAAGAGAGGGAGAGACACGCAGGAAGAATTAGGAGCCAGCCAATAGAGACCACATTTGCTAATGATCAGAGCGCCACACTAGGCTACTAAGGTGCTTCCCAGTGACAAGAGCATCTGGCCCAGCATCAGAGACAGAAGTGTGACTGCGGAGACTGGCTCAGTGAGGTGGGCATCGTCCAAACCTCTGCCTGCCTTCCAGAGAGCTAATCTCACGGAGGAAGACACGAGACAAGGCTGTTCTAAGACCACCGCCAGTAACAGAACAGCAGGCTCCTGTGACTGGGAAGAGGAGATGGGCTAAGAGGTATAGGGCAGGGCCAAAATTCTTTTAAGAGCAATACCAGATCAAAAAAGCCCGTAGCTAAGAAAAATCCCCATCTCTGAGCTATCTCTAGCTCTAACAAAAATCAGAATGGCTTTGAACAGGCGGTCTACAGGGGGTAAATCATAAAAGAAGAATATTCCCAGACTTGGTCATCTAGAGATAGGGTACAGAAAGACTATATAGAAAATGGACGGACTTCTGTTACTAATTCTTTAGTTACCATTATCGGTAGCAACTGCCTGAGACATTTTAAGCACGTCCTCCGTATCAGAAAGTAAGTTCCACGAGGGCGGGAACCTCTTTCACTCACTGATAGTACCCTGAGAGCCTAGAACACCGCCTGGCACACAGAAGGCCCTCAATAAGTATGTTTAGATAAATGAACATCTGAATTTTTACTTCTCTCAGCTGATTTTTTAAAGCTCCCCATTTACAATGTTTTAAATGAAGTGACACAAATTTTAAACCCACTACCTTAATTTGTCATGAAACTGCCCCCCACTGATGCCCTTACCAAAATGCCCGCATTTTTCACCGCCAGGGGCAGCCCCAGGAGTCCTGTGCCGATATTGCCTTTTAACAAGTGCACCAAGGTCTGGAACCACCTGAAGTGAGAGAAGGTAGACAAGGGCACGTTAACAACAACGTTGTTAGCTAAGCTAGCACTTAGCACGGTGCGGTGCTAGGTGCCTTCACAGATGATCTCATTCGGTCTCTACAACAACCCTGTGAGCTGTGGACTAACTTCACTGTATGGATGAAAAAGCAACTTGCTCAAGGTCACACACCTGGTAAAGAGTCGAACCAGAATCCAAACCCAGGCGGTCTGATCCCCAGGCTCACTCTAAGCTCCGCTCCCTGTGGCATCTCTGAGAATCCCCTTTCTTGGAGATGGGGTCGGAGGGGTGGTAGAACTCTCTCTAGGCACTCTGTCCTTTCCTAGAGTGCCAGGGCCTGGTTTTCACCACAGACCTGTCCACCAGGAAGAATCGGACCCCATACTGTAACGGAAGACGACAAGCTTGACTGGGAAGGCAGGCAGGAGTGTCAGAGGACAGGGGGAAAAAGGAGAAGCTGAAACCCTTAACAGAACTTTTACGGAGAGAATTTTCATGCTTATGTGAACTCCCCTTGTGCATATATTAAGTTTGATTTTTTCCTGTTTGAAAAAAAGAAAGGAAGTTTTATGGAAAGTGAAGAGAATAAGTCATGCAGCACCTGGACAGGCCAAATGTCCCTAGCACAGTTTGCCTAAAAAAAAAAAGTCAAACGCCATAGAGTCCTAGGACTGGAGCCCTCTTCGGTCACCTAGCTGGTCCTTCTGCTTTGAGGACCGATTTCCCCCTCACCTATTATACAAACTGTCCCCTTGAGGTGTAACTGGAAAGCCTCTCAGACTTCGTTTACTTTTTCACTTAGCAAGTTCGTATTCTGTGTAAAAGGTCGTGTTAATGCAGTGGTGGAAATAAGTAAGAACCAGATAAGGACCTCAGTCTCTAGAAACGAACAGTGTCTGAAGTAGGAAGACGGCTCCCTGTCTGAAGAAGAGCCAGGAACCACATCCAGGGAGCAAAGGCAGGTGAGGGCCTGAGGGAGAGACCTGAGCAGAGCTCGGCGAGACAGGCAGGGCTTCCGAGTGAGCTGATGAGGAAGGGAGGCCTCGGAACAGGGGCCTAGAGAGAAACGGGGGACGCCGACCCGGGGCCACTCCAGTGGGGATGAGGATGAGCAGCGAAGTTCTATGTTTTCCCCAGGAAATGGGAGGACCCCAAAGAACGGACAGCAGAGGAGTGGCCTCCTCTTCAGCATTTTCTACTCTTTGTTACTTCCAGAACAATACGGACCAGGTCATATATGGTATGCTTTCACCCAAAACCAGACCAACTCAAGTTTCATCCCTGGCACTGTCTTGAAATTCTTCTGCACGAATAACCTAAATCCCTCCTAAATGATGCTTCAGCACATTTCTTCAAATCTGCAATTCCGGAGAAACAGGAAGCAAATGACACATGTTATCTGGCCGTATCAAACCCATCTTTACCCTCTGGGAAGGAATTTTACTTTTGGTAACCTTTTTCCTTCTACCTCCAGGAAGAAAACCTCTCAAATTTCCTACTGTCCCCACGCCTTTCAGGAAAAATCAAGGAAACTGCTTCACGCCTAAAAACAAGAGGCTGAGTGTTTTTCTGGACTATTCTGAGGAAACAGCTTAAGGACCAGACTGCAAGGGTCCAGCAGTGACTCCTTCATTATCAGCAGCCAGTGACCAGATGATTATGGGCAAGATGATGAGCCAATCAAATTTCTGTCTTAGCAAGGGTAAGCACTGTACCAAACCAGCCTGCCTCCCAGAGCCCTCCCCTAAATGCCTGAGCTGGGTTTCATGGGAGACCAAGTCCCCCTAGCCCTGGCTCTGCCACTAACTCCGAATGACAGTTACCTCCCCTTCTCTGGGCCTACCGACTCACCTGCAGTGACGGACTGGACTACAACAACAAATTCTTCAAGGTCCCTTCAGCTCTGAAGCACCAGGACTCAATGCAACTGATGTAACTCAATGCAAAATTACTCCTTTTACTCAATGGCCCCAAGCTGGAATTACCCAAAATCATATGAGTATCACAAAATCAACTCCAGGTGCAAAGCCTTAACTATGGGGAGGGCAAGGGAGTGGGGTGAGAAGGTAAATAAGCCTTGCAAGTCTCTGTGGCTATGTTTATGCTCCAAATCAGTAGTTCTTATACTTTTTGGCCTTAAGATCACTTAATACATTTATAAATTTTGAGGATTCCAAATAGCTTCTGCTTATGTGGATTATGTCTGTTGATATATACTATACTACAAATTAAAATCAAGGAATTGCATAAAATTTATTAATTTAAAATAACAATAAACTTATTACATATTGATATAAATAAATAACAAATTTTTTGTGAACAGTAACTCTATTTTCCAAAAAAAAAATAAAATGCCAGGAGAATGGCACTACTTAATTTTTTTGCAAATCTCTTCCCTGTCTTGCCTAACAGAAGACAACTGGACTGTCTCCCCCCACACTCACTCTGCTGTGACATGCCGTGTGTTGGCGGAAGTACACAGAAGGTCTGTCCTCACACAGATACGCAGTTGGGAAAGGGAGGAGTATTTTAATCACCTCTTCAGAAAGTTGTGGTAATTTTTCTTTGATACCAAAACTCAACATGTGGTCATTACTTGGAAGTTAGTTGTAATGTGGAATCTGAACTTTTCATCTTCTATTACGTTAAAACCCACCGGTGATCTTGCTCTTTGAATGGTCTTTTACCCATGCACAATTTTCTAACATCACACTTTGGTCTCCTGGAAGATATGGTTCTCTGGGTTATACAGATCTTCCAAATGCTGACATATTACCTTATAATATCAAAACCCCATTTATTAATGCTGTCACTGATCTCATCAGAAAATCTTTTTATTTATTTATTTATTTATTTATAAACATTTCTTATTGATTATGCCATTACATTTGTTCTATTTCCCCCCCTCCGTTCCCCTCCACCCTGCACACCCCTCCCCCACCATTCTCCCCCTTTAGTTCATGAACACCTGTCTGAAGTTCTTTAGATTCTGTATTTCCCCTACTATTCTTACCCTCCTCCCTATCTATTTTCTATCTACTGTCTATGCTACTCATTTTCTGTACCTTCTCCCCCCTTCTCCTTCTCCCACTCCCCTGTTGCTAATCCTCCACGTGATCTTCATTTCTATGGTTCACTCCTGATCTAGCTGTCCTCTTAATTTGCTTTTTGTTTTAGGTGTGGTTGTTGATAACTGTGAGTCTGCTGTCCTTTCACTGTTCATCTTTTTTATCTTCTTTTTCTTAGGTAAGTCCCTTTAACATTTCATATAATAAGGGCTTGGTGATGATGAACTCCTTGAATTTGATCTTATCTGAGAAGCGCTTTATCTGCCCTTCCATTCTGAATGAAAGCAGCTTTGCTGGATAGAGCAATCTTGGATGTAGGTCTTTGGTTTTCATGACTTGGAATACCTCTTTCCAGCCCCTTCTTGCCTGTAAGGTCTCTTTTGAGAAATCTGCTGACAGTCTGATGGGAACTCCTTTGTAGGTGACAGTCCCCTTATCTCTTGCTGCTTCTAGGATTCTCTCCTTCATTTGAATCTTGGCTAATGTAATGATGATGTGCCTTGGTGTGTTTCTTCTTGGGTCCAACTTCTTTGGGACTCTCTGAACTTCCTGGATTTCCTGGAAGTCTATTTTCTTTGCCAGAACAGGGAAGTTCTCTTTTATTATTTGTTCAAATAAGGTTTCCACTCGTGACTGTTCCTCTTCCCCTTCTGGTATCCCTATAATTCGAATGTTGGAATGTTTAAAGATGTCCTGGAGGTTCCTAAGCCTCTCCTCATTTTTTTGAATTCTTGTTTCTTCATTCTTTCCTGGTTGGTCATTTTTTCCTTCCTTCTGGTCTACTCCCTTGATTTGAGTCCCAGTCTCCTTTCCATTACTATTGGTTTCCTGTGCATTACCATTCATTTCAATTAGTTTAGCTTCCATATGTTTCTCTAATTTGTGACTAAAATCAACCAGTTCTGTGAGCATCTTGATCACCAGTGTTTTGAACTGTGCATCTAAAAGTTTGGCTATTTCTTCATTGCTTAGATTTATTGGCTCTGGGGCTCTGAGTTGTTCTTGAGCCATGTTTTTTATCTGTTTGTGCCTGTTACATAGGAGGAACAGAGCCTTAGTTGTTTACCAGGGCGGGGCCACCCAGGTTGCTGGTTTGTGACGCTATATGTGGGGGCAGGGTCAGAGAGGGAGCAATGGCCGTCCTCTCCGCTCACCCAGTCCGTCCCACCGCTCGTCCCCGCCTGTTCATCTGAGCGGAAATGTGTGAGCCCGCTGCCCTAAGCAGTGTGGTCTCAATGCTCGCCTCCTCGCTGGTTTATCTGCACGCAAATGCGCAACCTACTGCAGACAGACAGCAGCGCCTCTCCCCACTGTCCACCCGTAGCTAGCCCGCACCTGGGATCCTTGCCTTTGGCTGCCTGCGCACCACCCGGGTCGGGGATCTTTTTGGCCAACCTGCTCCACTGCTGGTTTCGCCCCTCTTACCGGTTTAGCAGAGCATTTCGTTGTTTTCGGACTCCATATTATCGATTTTCTGTGGGGTTTGGTTGCATTTATTGTTGTTAAAAATTTATTGTTTTTAGATTTGGTTGTACGTGGACGCAAGGTGTTTCCACCTACGCCTCCATCTTGGCGGAAGTCCTTGGCATTTTCTCTCATCAGAAAATCTTTAAGTAGTGGGAAGCTGTCCACATCACAGTGCTAGAGACAAGTTTTTTTCTAATTTTGAAAGCTCAAATGTTATTGTGGGCTGCAAACACTGTTGACTGTGTTTCTTGTAGTGACGGTCTCACTTATGACACTTGCTATCAGGTCACCTACCTAGTATCACAGTATCAGGGCAAGACACCACTAAGAACAGAGTATGCCCTGGAAAAATGTCCCAATAAAAGCCCAAGGAAGGCATCTTCTTGTTTGTTTGATTTCCAACAAACAAGGGTAAATAACAGGGGTTGACTACTAGTTATAACCCAATGTGGAAACAAGAGATATTCAGACAGCTAGCAGGTGTGGGTCTGCTTCAATACACATAAAACCAATGAGCGACCATTCTGAAGCTGCTAACTGGTTGGTGTTGAACTTCAGAAACATCCCTTTAAAAATGAAAATCTAGACCATATGGCAAGCACTGCATAGACAAATTGCCTGAGAACGAGGAGTAAAAACTGGAAAGGAAACTATAAAGGGAAGCTTGCAAGAAACATTTCACAATAACAAGTGTGACTTCTAAAGGGAAGCTATCGCACGTCACTGGCCGCATGTGGCGCTCCTTCTGCCCGGGGACAGCCAACGGGGTGGAAAAGATTGGGAGCAAAGAGCGTCCTCGCTGCTCCCCGTTGTGCTCTAAGCAACCTTTTCCACCAGCTAACCATGCAAGCAAATGGGGGGCTCCATGAAAGCATTCCACATGACAAATAAACTGCAGAGACTGAAGATTTGCGAGCAGAAATCAGCTAGTGGTGGAGAGCAGCTGGTAACGTGATCAGTCCAGATCCTCTAGTTCTATCCCTGTTCACGTGACCAAGTGCCCTACACCAGGACAGACTGCAGCCAGAGAAGGCTTCATTAGTAATGAACTCCAGGAGAAGCTTCCATGGTCCCCTTGGGCAGTCAGAGGGAACAGAATAAATCTAGGTCACAAAGAATCCCTCAGTAAGTCATACCCAACCCACAAGGGTACACAACAACAAGGGTGATAGCGAAGCTTGAGGAATAAACAGAAGGACTGTAAAGAATGGGGTGTTAAGATCCCAAGGAAAGGTCAAGGGTCTGCTGAGATTGGGGATCTAATCTGATAACTAAGTGGAATAGAAAACACTCCTCTGAATCTTCTGATTTGAGTGGAGAGCACCAGAGAGTGAGCATAGCCTCACAGCGAGGTCCTCAATGTTATCTTACTTTTGGGGAAATTGAGGCCCAAACTCAGTACAGATGAGCCTTGGGATTCAAGTTTCCAGGGATGAAACATAACACCTTCTCAGGGAATACACAGCAGATCTCCTCTATCAACCCCTTGATTTTTTTAAGCACAGGAAAAGTTATTCCTCCCTGTTCCCACTTCTCCCGCCAAATGAACTGGCTATTTGGTGACAGGAACAGAGTCTGGGAGAGCCTTTGCAAAGGAGCCGCCAGTGGGGTCAGGGTATCTGAGGTTCTAGCACGGATGGCCTGTGGTTCTAAACTAAGAGAATATTCTCCCTGTAAGCTTTTCTCATGTTCATGCTCTTAATCGGCACGACTTGGTCCAGACTTCTAGGACCAACACAGCTTAAATGAATAAAGAATAACAGACTATACAGCGGCAGGCAAGGAGCTCAAATCTCTGCACTGTTAATCACCCAGCCTCTTTAGATCTTATTTTAATCTGTAAAGTGCGGGAATTAGTCAAACGGAGAGCAAAAATAACTTCGAGGGTCCTGACTGGTGTGGCTCAGTTGGTTGGGCGTTCGTTGTCCAGGAAAGTGAAAAGGTCACCTGTTTGATTCCCAGTCAAATCATGTGCCTGCGTGGCGAGTTCAGTCCCTGGTAGGGGCAGCCAATAGATGTTTCTCCCTCACATCTGTGTTTCTCTCCCTCTCTTTCTCCAAACTCCCTCCCTCTTTCTAAAAATAAATCAATAAAATCTTCTAAAAAAATAACTCCAAGGGAGACTATGTTACTGATGCAGAACTTAGGGGCTTGAAGGAGGGTGGAAGACACAGCTACTCACGTTGTGCTGCTGCTTTCCCCAAATCGCTGGTAGGAGCTCGGGGGAGAGAAGTTGTTCAGGCCCTCGGACGGGCTCTCCTCCGGGCTCACATCGGTGGAGCTGTAGTCAGCGTAGTCCTCGTTCCGGAGCCTCTGTGTGGACATGGTAGCTGTGGGGACAGGGTCAGTGCTAAGACCTCCAGCGGCTAGGGTCTTTAGCTCTAAGCCTGCGGTGGGCTCTGGGGCAGAGGCAGCCATTGCTTCAGTAGCTCAAGGGTGACTGTACTAAGGATTAAATACAATGTGAGAGTCTGTATTTATGAAAATGGAAAAGGGGCAAAGTTCACTTGGCCAGGCTGCGCTGACTCAGCTCCCACCTCCCAGCCTTCCCCGTTGGTGCCACGCTCATCCATTTCTCGATCTCCTGGACACAGCAGAGGTGATGCCGTCTTGGGAGGGGTGGAGGAGCATATAAAACCTGCAGGAAGACCTCCCTGTTCCTTGGGTTGGGACTAACAATCCCTACCTTTGAGTTAACTTCTTGGACCTTGAACAGCTAAATTGTATCTACTTCTATCTCTCCCAAGAGCAAACTCTCAGAAGACAGGTAGTTGAATCTTGTTAACCATATCCTATTTTTCCTCTGTATTAGTTAGGGAAATAACCTTGCTGCATTCAAGAAACGCCTTCCAGATCATCCAGTTCTGCTCAAATTCCCCAGCAGATCCCAGAGCCACAAATGACTCTCTCTTTATCTCTGTCATGACCTCTGGCCTCTCCTGTACTCTTAAGAGCTCAACAATGACTCTCATCCCCAGACCCTGGGACTCTTTTCTTGCAACCAGGCCTGACTGTTGAGAAATGGCAGCTGAAAGAACAGAGGAAGACCAGGAGCGTGTGAGGTATTCACCACTGGCTCTTGTCTCAACAGCTCCCCTCCACAACCTCTCTTCCTTTTTATTTTCACAGATTTGCCAATTTTTAAAAGATGGTGAAAGAAGCAGCCCTTCCTGTTGTGTGCTGGGGAAGGGTGGTGAGGGTGGTATCCTTTGGGCAGACTTCCTAGAAACAGTACTACAGAAGGGAGAGTGACTTCTTTAAGATACACAATAAAGATCCATTTGGAGATCTGTATGGGCCCTCCGAATCCTAGAGACTGGTGCTAAAAAGAGCCTTCAGAAATCACTCCAACTGCTCATTTTATAGGGGAAGAATCAACGCCACAAAAGATGAAGGGGCCCGCTCTGCTCCATCCAGGTAGCAGCAAAGCAGTAAACAGACCTCCTGACACTGCCTGGGTCTGGAAACATACACTGAATACCATGCCAGCAGCAGCAGCAAGGGAACAATGTAATGAAAAGAGACTCAACTTTCTGTCCTCCAAGAATCTGCAATCATGAGGAAAAATGTACATCAACATTCAAAATCACAAATAAAAATCTCTCTGACACGTGCCAGACTAGCACAACTGCCTGCTTCTAAGGGGCTCTCCTGAAGCATGAAGCTGCCCGCCCTGCGTTGGACGTGCTATCGCAGAGACCATCTGGACATGCCGTCACTAGCTGTCAGAGGGTAGCTCTGTGCTGAGTGCTCCCGCAGGTTGGGTCCTGGGGCACTTTTCAGAAACTGCTCCCACCCTGGCATCTGAGTGATCCAGGGTTACCTCATCTTCTCCCACCAGCTATAATGGAGGTGGGTCCCCATGTCATCTCACAAGGAAAGTACCTGGTAGAAAGTCAGCAAAGGGCTTGGAAGTCCCAGAGAGGATCCTGCCCGGCTTCTCTGCTAAGTATCTAAGGTGATGTCAATCACTCGCATGCTGGAGGAATTCAAGAAAGTCAGCTAGCTCTGGGGCAGTTAAACTCATGAAGGGGCCAAGGAAAAAAATTATGAAGTAGTTGAAACCTATCATTCAGACAAAAGTTAATAAGCTAGTTTATATGTAACTTACAAGACCTGGGTTCTATAGCTGCCTCTACCACCAGTTTGCTAGTAACTCGAACAATTCTCTTTATATGTCTAGGGCCTTTGTTCCAAACATGCAAAAGAAGAAGGGGGTGAGCTAAAATCTCTCTCAGCAACTCTCTAGCTCTAATATTCCAGGAATCAACCAATGTAATTACTTATGCAAACAACAGCTAATTTCTAGCCTCTTCCAACATACTGAAGTGTCTGAGGGACAGAGCCTTCCAAGTGAATCCTACACGTTACTGAGGAAGAAGGGACAGCATACAGGGACTGATAAGCTCCCCCCCCACCCCCCATTAACTAAGAAAGCACTCTGTTGCTTACTTGGTATAGATGCTCAATTCATTCCAAACACTGTAAAGGTGCCTGCTTATGTCATGTATAAAAGCTGAAGTTACCCACGGCAGATTACTGCTAAAAACAAAAACTGCTCAAAAAGAAGCTGACATCTATAGATCTAAAGTCCAAGAACCAATGGCAGGATGTGGGAGATGTGGCTTGGCAACTCTGTGAATGTTGAAAAGGAAAAAAAAAAGCCACGTATGGGCTTCAGTTGATAAGTGTAACAGAAGTCAATGATATAATAATAGATGCCAAAAAGGCCAATGCAATCCTAGACTGCACTAGGACGAGAGACCCCAGGTGGACGGCACATATCACTGGGCAGTTTTGCGACGTGTGGTGTTCTGTTCCAGGTAGCACACTATAAAGGCAATGATGGCAAACTATGGTACAGCTAGAGGTCAGCACCAAGATCAGGAAAGGGATGGGCGCCGACTAAATAAGGAATGGTTGGAAGCACTGAGAAGGCTCAACCTGGGGACCTGGCAACTTGGGAGGTATAACAACTGCTTTTATAAACACTGTCCTAGAGATAAGACTTCTTCTGTGGAGCTTCAAAGATCAGTCAGAAATAGGATCAGTTGGTAGAATGTAAAGGGAGGCAGGACATAAGGAAGAACCTTCTATCAAAAGGAGTTGTCCAGATGGAATGGTTCGCTCTGGGAGATAGTGTGTTCCCCATCCCTGAAAAAGGCTAAGCAGAAACCCTTCTCACAGCTGTTAAGTAGAGATTCAAGTATGATAGAGGGTGGGAACAGTCACTCCCTAAAGACCCTTCTGGCAACTAAGTCCTCCTCCTCTTGCTTTCCAGCTGTCCCCACTGAGTGCTAGCCTTTAAGGCCATGCTGCCTCTGGCTTCCCTTTGATGAAAACTGGTTTCTAAGTCTCCTGCTGCAATTGCCAATTCCTGCCATATGAAAGGGGTTTTTTGTTTGTGCTTTCAAGGTGCTTGTTCTTCTTCTTATTATTATTATATTTGATTTGCATATTGGGGGAAATTGATAATATACCTTAGGATAATAAAAATAATTATAGTAAATTTGTTTTAATTTTATTGATTTCAAAGAGACAGAATGGAAGGACAGCAAGACAGCAAGATAAAAAGAGAAAGGTTTATTGTTCCACTTATTTATACATTCATTGGTTGATTCTTGTATGTGCCCTGACCAAGGATCAAATCTGCAAACTTGGCATATAAGACAATCTTCTAACCAACTGAGCTACCCTGACAAGGCTAAAAAACATTTTTATAATGTGTTTTACAAATTGCAAAGCACTCTCCCATATATATTATTAATTTTACTTCTTTTTTATTGAATGCATTGAGGGGACACTGGTTTATAAAACCATACGGTTCCAAGTGTACAACCCTATACCACATCATCTGCATACTGCATCATGCGCTCACCACCCAAAGTCAAGTCCCTTTGCTTCACTAGTGAGACATGGGGCTTGCTTTCCTTCCTTCTTTCTTTCTAAATAACTGGCTTATAACACAGCTTAAATGCTTTCATATGAATAGGTCTCAATTTCTGAATCATATCCTTGGGCGTTGAACTAAGTGAACAGGCTCATTTTATGGTTCTTACCACACAAATGACACTGTCATTAGCAGTGTATGGACATTACTGTCTCTGCATAACCCTGCCCATGTTGGATTTTATCACTTTTACTTTTGCTTTTTCAGATAGAGGGGTGGCTCCTTATACTTGTTTGTTTGTTTTCACATCTCCTTAATTTCCAGGGAAGACCACTGATAATAAAAACTTTCTTTCCCCCACCTATCAAGACTTCCGCCAAGATGGAGGCATAGATGGAAACACTGTACCTTCTCGCACAACCAAGTTTAAAAACAACAAAGTTTTAGCAACAAAAATGCAGCCAAAGCACAGAAAATTGAACTATACTGAAGTCTGACAACAACGAACCCTTGAGCCAGACTGGTAAGAGGGGTGGAGCCAGCAGCGGTATGGGGTTGGGCAGGAAAGAGCCACAGGGCCCACCCAGATGTGAGACCCAGGCGCACAGGCAGCTGTGGGCGGATCCCAGGTGTGGAGTAGCAATGAGTGGACCCACTGAGGGCGCAAGGCAGCAGGCTGATCGTGGTCACACATTCGCGTGCAGATACACCAGCGAAGGATCAAGAAGTGAGACAGACCTTGCAGGCCCCAGCGGCAGGAAACAGCAGAGGGGACTGCCATTGTCCCTCTCTGACCCCGCCCCCACAAACAGCATCACAACCCAGCAACCTGGGTGGCCCCGCCCTGGTGAACACCTAAGGCTCCTCTCCTCATACGTAACAGGTTTGAACAGACCAAAACATGGCTCAAGAAGAACTCAAAGTCCCCCACCTATCAGATTCATACTTTTGAAAGTCCTAAATGCACTTTAGAAAATACTAAAATGTTCTCAAGATGGCCACTTAAGAATTTACTTTATTGGATTCTACTCCCAATTCAGAACAATAAACAAGGTCACTTCCAAGAAGGAGAGAGAATCCATTTATACCCGTTAGTAGGTCTCTTTCAGGACACATGGGAGGGTCAGGGAAGAGAAAGAAGAGGAGAGAGGAACAGGTAATACCAAAGTGTTCCTTAGCTTCACTGCCAAAAGCTAAACAATACTTTTAAGGAAGGCTTGTAAACACATAGGAAATTATCCTCTAAAAATTACCAGAATTAATAAGTTCAGCAAAGTTGCAGACACAAAGTCAATATACAAAAAAATAAGTTGTATGTCTATTCATTTGCAATGAACAATCAAAATTAAATTGAAAAAAGTTCCATTTACTAGAGCATCAAAGAGAATTAAATACTTAGGAAGAAACTGAGCCAAGTAGGTGTAAGATTTTTACATGAAA